AGAGATGAAAAGTAACCAGGAGTGGTAATTTTTAAACTTCATTCTTTGTGTACCCATCCTCTGATTTTTTTTTTCAGTTGTGTGGCCATAGGGAAAGATCTGAATAATTAAACTAAAACTTCATCCTGCAAGTGAACATAGGTCTACATTGGGAGGAATCAGTTCAACCCATCCCTGGAAAACCAGTGCTAGAGCTCCCTAGACCACGCAGCCACTCATTTATTCAGAAGCAGGGAAGACAGGAGGGGTGAGCTGGGGCCCCCTCACCCCACTTCAGCCCCACCCAATCTTGCCAGTCTTATTCCCAACACCACCATACATTGTAGCCGTGTGAAATCATTCCAGATTGGCCAGGAAACTGAGAAGAGTGTGGGGGGGGTATCTTTCATCTTCATATTCTCCCAATTTCTAGGTAGTGAGTGAGATTCTACTTGCTGGAAAGAGCATCCACTCTCTAGTGGCAAAAAGCAGGATGACATGGGACTTTGAAAAACTCTGGAGGAACCCAGCCACTGTTGCAAATCTGAAAGCACACAAGGAACAGACAAATAATTAAAAGGAAGTGGGCGATTTTGACAATGATGATGATTGTCATTGCTGGCTGGTGGGAGAATGAGCATGGGGTGAAGAGGAACACCCTTCCTTACAGACTGCAAAACATTCATGTATTAAAGATCCATCATTTCTTCCTTGCTCCTTTTATATCATTCTTTGAAGCTGTGCTTAAAGAACGGAGTCTGATTCTTGTCATCACATGGACAAATGTCCCCATCCTCAACAAACCTAAACCATCACCCTGTACTACTGCCTCAAGCCCATCCCCATACCCAGTGGCAAGAACTGGTTTGAGGAAATAAACATGCTTTGCAAACCAAACAAATACCAGAGAACCAGTGACAGGTCCACCTTTGTTTGAAAGAGATCCAGAGCAGACAGGCCCTGTTTAGGATTTAGAGTACTTTATATACATAAAAACACAGGCAAAATAATTTAACTCTTTGAGAGAGAAACAACCGGTTCTTCCAGATTTTTCAGTTCAGAGCCTTCTACAGAGGAGCAAAAAGACATAAACTCTAACTTGCTCATATAAAGATATCTCCTCACCAGAGTGAATGAGAGAAATGAGGTTGCTTTCAATATAAAAGCCATGTGGTGGTTTTCAAGTTTTTATTAAATATCATGATTATTAATTCAGTCCAGGAAAGTACAAGGCAACAAACCATGTACACTAATACCACAGAAGATCAAATGCCTATCCATAAAATCCTCTATTCTCTCCACAAGATTCTCCACAAGATTTTTGCAAGAGATTTTTTTGCAATTCTCTGAAAACCACAATGTTATTTTCCCATTTTATTTGGAGATCATGGTTTCTCTTTAAAATAATCCTTTATAGAAAAAGACCACCCATTTTTATTTTGTCTTCTGTAACTGTGGCATGTTATAGACCCAAAGTTTGTCAAAAAAAAAACAACTGTCTCCCTTTTGAAAGTGGATAAAATATTCATTTACTTTGAGTAAATTTCCTCCTTCAATCCAACCATCTGGTTCTAAATTAAGGTATCCTACTTTGAACATGGGTATGCTTGCCATCTGGTTACCCGAAAGCAGCAATTACTTCAGGTAAATGAACATATACCTAATTCTAAGCAAGTATATTCTACTATAGGATACTATGGCATAAATACACACCCTTTTTATCTGCCTGCTATGCACCAACTTGAGAAAAAAATGAGTATGTGTTCTGCCTAATGGAGATAATTTACTGCTGTGTGTAAACATTTCAAATTCAAGAGAATTTATTTATTTGCAATATTCAACAAGTGGTGAATTTCCCATTAGCCGAACTATCAACTGAAAGTAGAGGAGCCTTGGGTTTCAGGGGAGAGTTTGTCCTCTACCTTTCTCCAGTGCACTATGGGAACCAGAAAAGGTAAGTGTTCCCTGTAGGACAAAACCAGGTCCCACCCAATGCCTAGCGGGAGAATAAAACCTTCCAAGGGTCATAGGTATATAGCAATAATGAAATCTAATTTTCCTGCCCTCACCCAAATTCTTTCTCTCAGACCTCCGAGAAGTAAACCAAAGAATCAATTGACTCCTGGGTATTAATGAGTTGTCTCCATATAGGCTAAGTAAGGTGGACTGAATTGTAGTACTGCTCTTTTAAATATTTCCAGTTGCTTGCTGTGACTCCCCATTGGCAGAATAAATACTTATTTTTATTACAAAAATTATCCAAAAATTAACTTGGCAAAAACTACAACTAACTAAAGACCATGATATTTAATCATTAATCAAATGAAAATTTAGAATTTACATCTATGTCCTCTTGGAAAGTGTTTTAAAATATCACATTACAGAGCATTTGGGGGACGAAATCATCACCAATCAAAATCCAAACCTGGCTGAGTTCCTGACATTGATATGTTTAAAAAATTCTCCCAGTAGCCATAGTAACGACAACAATCAAAAAAAAAAAAAGATTTAATAGATGTAATGGTCACATAATTGTGAACAGAGATTTCCTTTGCCATATCAACTCCAGTTAGAAACACTCAAGAAATTATCATATTCACTCCGGTAATGAAGGGAAAAAAAAACAAAGAGAAACAAGGACTTTCTCTAAGATGCTGTTGAAACAAAACCATCCTGACAGCTCCAGAAATATTGAATCCAGATTTTCTATTAGGATGCAGAATACAGCCACATGTGCTCTAGGTTAAACTTTCAACCAAGTCATTTACATCTCTGGGAGAAAACTGAAGGAGAGAGTTTGAACACAAATATGCACTAGGGGTACAAGAAAACAGTTATGGGTCAAGCAAAAACATCTGGTCTTTTTAAGAGTCCCGTTAATTTGAATGCACTGACCAAAACAAGCTCAGTTCCAACAAATATATTTTGGCATGGCTCAAAACACAGGATTTGTTGGAAGTATTTATTTCACCAGAGCAAGATTTATCAGTGATATGCAACTCCCACTATTGACATTTTGATATAAGCTTGTTTCCAAACACATGCAAATTTGCCTTCTACGCCTTTTCCCCCATATTTGATATGATGGTGGGTTTTAAAAAATGTATTTATTCTGTATTGTTTAGAATATGTTAAAGGAAGTGGTGAAAGAGGGTTTAAATTATCCACATCTGATCTTAGGAGTTTGAAAATGAATATACATTCACTTATAGGAGGCTTTAACTATCATACAACTACTAAAGCTTTGGAAAATCGATCTGGGGTTGCTTCATAGCACTCTATAAATAATAAAACTTTTGTGTTCTCCCATAACACACTGAAATTTCCCAGCCTCCTATGCAATAACAACTTCTGGGAGTTTCCAGCCACCATAAGCCCCGGTCCATCAGAAAACCAAAGTTTGAGTCTCACCTCTCCACTGACAAGCCTGCTGATCTCAGGCACCTGGGACTGATCTCAGGACCCTGGGGCTGCTCTGAGCCCCAGTTTTCTGCTGTTGTGAAAATCATTTGAGAACAGGAGAGGCTCTGCCAGGGGCATCACTGCTAATCTCCAACCTGCCTCTACTTCTAAGGTTGTCGATTTCTTTTTTAACTTCATTTCGGTTGTTTGCTGGCCCTGTAGTCACTTAATTAATCAAAGTTATTTTAAATGCAATGGATTAGGGCAAAAAGTGAAAATCAGATGTTTATTCACTCAGTAATATGCTTGAGTGCTGACTATCACAGGACACTCATAACAGCTCATATTTATAGAGGACACTCTATATGCCAGGTATAGGGTTAAGTGCTTTTCAATGCATTTACTCAAGGACACCTGCAACAATCTTGTGAGGACAGTACTACTATTATTGTCACCAAGTTAAAACTAAAAGTATGGGCTCTGGAGCCAAACCGCTTGGGTCTAAATCCCTGCTCTGTCAGCTCACTGTGTGACAAATTACTTGACTTCTCTGTGCCTCCATTTCCCTATCTGTAAGATAGGAAGTGTGGATGGCACCTTCCACGTAGGGTTCTTGTGGGACTAAGTTAATATATTTTGCTGGATAAGCACTAGAGGTAGTCATTGTCAGGAGCTGGTTACTTAGATTCATCAGCGTCTTCAAGCCTTCACCACAGCTAGTGCTGCATCTGGGATTTGAACCCACTTCTGTTTGACTACGAAATCTGAACTCTAAACAAGTGGTGAAAAGCCCCACAGCCTCTCAGAAAAAAAAAAAAAAAACAAAAAGGAAAATACTGCCCGCATCTAAAAAGCATCAAAGGTACTCATTAACAAGGCATTTGAGACTGACCGCTAGCTTTCCGAACTCTTTTCACCACTGGAGTTATTTCCAGAGGCAGTAACTCAAGAACAACAGCAAAAAACTAGAGTCACTCTATGTTTGTGTCAAGAGAGTTGGCAGCACCTGCAAGGACATTTCTCGTTGGCATTGGCCATGGCAGCCTCCTCCGGACCCCTGTCGCCCTCCCCCTGACTCTGTCACCTGGACCTGCTCGTACTGCTCCGAATCTCAACTTCCAGTTTTGGAAAACTTTATGCAGCCAAAGCTCACTCTCTGCTCCGTGCCTGCCAGGTAACAGTCGAGGTGGGCGTGTTGCCCGGGGGGGGGGGCGGGGGGGGGAGGATTTTGCCCTGCACTGCCATCTTATCTCCCTCGACGGTATCTTGGCAGGGTTTTGATGTCACCCTGGCATCGCTCAGATTTCACACTACCCTTTAAAAATTGCTGTGCGCCATGCTGGCTAAGGAACTTTGACGGGAGGGAGTTCCAGACTAGAGGAGGGGGTGGCATTCACCATTCGGCGCTGGTGAGTGTGTGGAGTCGGCAGCAGAGAAAGCCCGGGCATCTGGGAGACCCCAAGGGTTCTGGGTGATGGTCCTACCCCACCTTCGCTTCCTTCACCCACCCCTCGCTTTTCGGTCTGGGAAGCCAGCCCGGTCCGCCGGGTCGCCGGCCGCCCAGTCGTTCGAGCAGCCTGGCTGGGTGGGGCGGTGCCGGGCACCGCCTCCCTCCCTACCTTCTCTCCCCGTGGAGCACGTAGGAGCTGCGGAAGAAGCCCAAGAGCTCGTTCTCGATCAGGGCGTTGTAGATGATCTTCAGGTTGTAATTCCTCTGCGCGTCCAGGGTCCTATTCAGCACCACCACCAAGACCTGGGTTTGCGGGTAGAGGAAAAAACCGGCCACCGGGACAGCCCCGGCCACCCGGTCCTCGGCCACCTGCACCTTCTCGACCGCCACCCGGGAGGCGTGCAGCACGACGTAGCGGGTGGCGTTCCGGCACGCGATCTCCACGTTGACCTCGCCGGAGAAGGTGAAGTTCTCCATGAAGGCGGTGAGCATTAGATTGTAGTGCAGCGGCTTGAGGTGGCCCGACAGGCGCAGCTGCGTCCACGGCTGCCACTGCTCCCGCTCCTCCTCCGACGGCGGCTGGGCGGACGGGGTCCCAGGGGTGGCCTCCCCGCCTGCCTCGGGCTGCGAGGAGTCTCCGCCAGCCTGGTGGTTGCGCCGGGCGGAACCCGGAAGGCTCCCGTTGCTCCCGCGCGCTGGGAAGCCGGCGAGACCGCCGTCGGCGCCCGGCGCTGCGCTAGCTCCACACTCGTCGAAGCGCAAGCTGAGCAACACCGCGAGCATGGTGACCGCGAGCAGCGCCACGATGGACACGGCGAAGGCCAGCACGAGCCGCTTGTGCACCGTGATGTGGCGCTCGGTAGTGCGGGGTCGCACCCCCACGGAGTCCGTCCACCGGTCCGAGATACCCCTGCCGCCGGCCCGGAGCGCGGCGTCGTTCTCCCCCATGGTGGCCGCGAAGGGTGAGCTGCTCTTCTCAGCCCCCTCCTCCTCCTTCTTCTTCTTCCTCTTCTTTTTCTTCTTCTTCTTTTTCTTCTCCTCCTCTTGCTCCCCCCGCTCGCCGTCCAGGGCCATCACACAGCCTCCTCCTCCTCCCCCGCCCCCTCCGGCACCCCCCGCGGGCGGGCCACCCGGGCCACCGCCAGCGCAGGCATCAGAGAGCGCACGCGGGCCGAGGGCGCGACGCTAGCTGGGACCCTGGAGACGCCGGCCCAGGTTCTTTTAAGACGGGTTCTGGCCGCAGGCGACAGCAACCTCGGCGCCCCCCATCAGCCCCGCCTCTCTCCGGACAGTGGCGGTTGAGGCGCGGGGCGTCGAGCTCTGGGACGCGCCCAACTTAGAGAGCGTCTCGCTCGCCCCACCGCGCGCTACTTCTCAGGCCGGCCAGGCGCCGGGGCACATGCTGCCTCCGCCCCTTGTGCGCCTGCGGCTCCCGGCTCACCCTCCCCAGCGCCCAGCTCTCGCCTGGCTATCCGCGGGAGCCTTTCAACGGGTCCTCGGCTAGAAAGGACAGGGAGCGGTGGAGAGGGAAGTTAGGGCTTCCGCTTTCTCTCCCCACTCCAGCGGTGGCGTTCAGTCCTCTGGGTGGGATGTGCTCTCAGCGGCGGCGGCGGCAGCAGCAGCAGCAGAGGAGGCGCCCGAGCCATGCACTCCGCAGCCGGGGGCGAGAGGATGGCCGGGGAAGAAGAGAGCGGGGTGAACCAGGCGGGCGAAGTCCCAGGGCCGCAGAGCTGCGCCGGGAATCTGCCCTGAAGAAGCCGTCTCCTCCACCCTGGACACTTTAAGCAGCGGTGGCGGCAAACGGCGTGAGGTTGCAGACCGGACAGCGAGCCTCCCTCGTTCCGACGTTGCTCTGACCTCCGGAGATGACAAGTGAGCAAGAAGTGTCCGGTCGGGCCATCCCCTTCAGGTAGATGATGCTCCGGGTTTGCTCTGTATCCCCGTGGGGAGAGCCGGAGTGCGTGTGTGCGAGTGCGTGTGCATGTGTGTGCGCGTGTGTGCCTGTGTGTGTACACACAGTCTCCAGGTCCGGATTGCCAAGGCTACTCTGACTGCGTTCAGGGACTGAAACTCCCCGAGAAAGGCAAAGGAGAGAGCGAGAGAGCGCAAGGAGGCAGGGAAGGCGGGAGGGAGGGGAGCGGCTGAGCGGCAGAGGCAGGCACTGGGAGATTAGAGAGCTTTTCTCCGCTCTGTCACACCAGACACCCACAGCCACAGAGGGGGTTGCTGAGCCGCCTGCAAGAAGTACATTGTAAATCTTCAGCGCAGCCAGCCCGGCAATCTCCCTTTTTCCCCGACTCCTTAGCCTCACCGCGCCTCCCGGGAGGGATCCTTGGAGCCTTTGGCTATTAACACCGAGAGCAAAGGAAGATCCTGCTGGGGAGTCGTGGCTGTATCAGATTTCATATCAGGCTCGCCAGAGGATTTGGAGGATTGTATGTAAATTGAAACAAATTCTCCAAAGCCTGACTACATATATTGTGTGATGAGTCCAGGTATGCTGTACGAAAATAAGGGTTAGCAATGAAGCATTAGAATCCCCCAGAAGTAAGGTTTAAATTAAAGACGTCTTTTCCCCCAATGAACAATTTCTATTTTTAGATTGGGGAAATGATTAAAATCTAATGCCTACATACCCAGTGTAACATCCGGAACCAAAAACTTGAGACTGAGAAAAGCTGAGGATCTGAGTGAGCCCCATCACTGGGGACTAACTACAGCAGTGAACAAATATATTCCATGATTGATCAGTTTTTCACTTCATCCAACCGTGATTACTTTTTTGCAGTTTTTAGTGTTATCAGGAAAATTGTTTAAACTTTTTTTAGAACAGTTATCAAGAGGAAGTTTTGCTGATAGCAGGAGCATCAAAACAGGTCATAGACTGTGGGCTGATTATGGACTTCTAAGTTTACTGAAGTTTTATAGTGCAGAGTGTATATGAGTATATGGGATATGCAACCCTTAGGATTTGTGTGAAAAACTTGAATTGGAACAATATTCAGAAAACAGCCACCCCAAAGGTAACAACTAAGAGGCAGGACTCTCTAGTTTTTAATAGAACAAAGTGTGATGGACTTCAGGGTCAAAAAAAGAAAAAAATGAAGAATAAAGAGAAAATAAAGAATAAAAAGAAATAATTCCTTTTTATATGTTTCTTTCACATCTTCAAATCCTGAAGGCATTTTAAAAATCATGTCCATAATTATTTTCTTCCAAAAAGGAATGTTAAATGCTCCTGGCTTCGTAGTCCTAAGAATATACAACTAAAATATTGTGTTTGGCTTTAAAAGCATGACCAAACAGAAGAGATGGAATACACATCAACTTTAGCCTGACAACCACTGAAAACACAGCCCTGCTCAATGAAGCTCTTTTCTGTTTATCCCCAGATGGGATACATTTCCAGTGCCATACATTCTAAAGGTCCATTTGAATCATTTTTAAATGATGATGAAAAGAAGTACCAGGGTGGGATTTTTTTTTTTTTTTAAGCATGTTGTATGTGGGCCGTTAGCAACAGACCAAGGGAAATGCCACATTCTGTTCAAGTTACTTTTTTCTGCTCTGATTTTAAATCTCCATGCTCTTGCTGTCCATATGTATCTGGCTGTATGCATTTTAAGAGTTGAGGAGTTGGGATCTGTTAGTTTGTTTTCACAGAATCAGGAAATATGATACAGGCAGGCAAAAAGCAATGTGTGACTCTTAGCAGGTCACCAGACTTCCCTGACCTCAGGGACTAATCTGGCAATTCAGGATTATTGACCTAAAATCCATGGATTCAACTCACTGAGATTATCAGAGGGACCTGGAACCCCGAGAAGTTTTAGAATCACTACCTAAATGAAGAGTTCATCCACTAAGGAATTGCTAAGACCTTTCTCTAAAATGATATTAGTCAAGAGAAGGTTCAAAGAAGAAAGGTTTTTTTAAATCTTATATGTATTTTATTGAAGTGTTTATGTACTTCTGAAAATTACTACAAGGCAACTCTCAAATATTTGGGAATTTAAGCATACGTTTACCAATTAGTAAAGTCACCACTGCCTGTGATTAAATTAGTAGATGGATTATTTCTGAAACCCAAGTGGAGCAGACCCAAGCTTATTAACACAGAGTGGACACAGCTTATTACAATATTGATTCCCTTAAAATGTAACTTTACCCAATAAACATCAGGTCAAATGGGTAAATATTTCTTCCTCTCATATCAATGTTGCAAAAGGGTCCCCGTTAAGTCTTTCTTTTTAATTTCTGAAGGTATATAGCACCCTTCCCCTGAGAAGCAAGCACTTTGTAAATAGTTTTTTTAATACTGTTTTTCTAGAGAATGTCCATTCTACCCTCAAACCAAGAAAAAAAGGCAAAATTTCAGATTGTGTACCTGACAAAAATATTAAAGAGATGACTCACTAATACTTCCATAAAGAAGTTGCTTTCAGTGTTGCCGATCACTAAACTGGAGATAGTTTTGACTTTGCTAAATGCTAGAGCCATTTAGTGGGATAAGACTTTCCAAAGTGCCTGATGGTTCTCTCAGAAACACATTCATTGCTGGGAGAATTTTATGGTTATTTCTTTAGCTAACAAATGTCTTTAAAGTCATTTTGTAGCCCTATTTGATTTAGGAACTTGTAAAAGTATGAACATTTAATATACACGAGGCCAGCAGAAGTTATGTTTAATTAAATCTACCCCCTTGGTCCTGTAAATAATCAAAATGAACTATCTTCAGGAAATGCACTGGCACAGAGTCTTTACTCTTTGATCATCATTGACACCAGAACTGCTTTTTCTCTTTCACTTTGGTTTGTATGTAGAGGCACAACTTAAGTGTCCTTAAGTACTCAGTCCTTCAAGTGTGATTAGCACTTCACATCCAGAAGCAGCTTGGCTCAAAAGAACTAAATCCCACTCTGCCCTCACCTCCCTACATTATCTTAACCTAGTTACTTTATAACTCAATTTCTTGATGCATTAATGTATAGGAGCTAGACGGGTAGCTCAGAGGTCTCTTCCAGTTCTCAAAGTCTATGAAAGAAATTCCAAAGCTAATATACTAGGCTCTTTATGCTCTCAAGTGATTTTTAATTAATCTTCTCTATTGAGAAGCCAAAAAAATTCAATTAAAAACTCAAAGTTCAGTGGGTAAAGAGACTTTATGAGAACACACTGTATTAGCAAAAACATGGGGGGGGTGGTTGGAGAGAAAACAAGCCCCACCACTCTGGCAGTGAACAGAACAGATATATTTTCTGAGTGGGATGTGTTCCTGAAGACCCCACACAATTAGAGACTAGTGCTGACAATGAATGGCAGAAGTCTATTTACTAGCTGAAGTGGTGCCGCCATGTGGCAATTATAAAAAGGCAGTTTGAAATTTGAGATTGTGATAATTTTTTCTTAAGTAGGCTCCACGTCCAATGTGAGGCTTGAACTCACAACCCTGAGATCAAGAGTCACATGCTCTACTGACCGAGCCAGCCCGGCGCCTGGAGATTGTGATGATTTGATGACATCTTTAATTTGAGGAAACTCACCTTATTGCAAACTTTATTATTTTTATATTGCATCATTTCAGAATTTCATACCATTTAATCACTGTATCTGCTGACGTTGAGGGGTTTCATATAAGAAATACTCTTCTAGACAGAATATTCTTCAAGATCTTAAAGATGGCAGGAGGAGAATTGTTTAAAATTAGCCATAATTGAGACAGTGCAATTTCATGATGTCTAGTTTGCCAAGTACAATTAACACCTTGATTTAACTGTTAGTTATCTGACTTCATTTAAAAATATTAATCTGAAAGGAAATTATATCTAAATTTGATTATGTCTTTTTTTCTCACATAAAATCTGTAAAGTTATCAAGTTTCTTTTAAAAAAGAAAACATTTCCAGGGGCGCCTGGGTGGCTCAGTCGTTAAGCGTCTGCCTTTGGCTCAGGTCATGATCCCAGGGTCCTGGGATCGAGCCCCGCATTGGGCTCCCTGCTCCGCGGAAAGCCTGCTTCTCCCTCTCCCACTACCCTGCTTTTGTTCCCTCTCTCGCTGTGTCTCTCTCTTTCAAATAAATAAATAAACAAATTGTTTTAAAAAAACAATTCCCTAACCTATTAATATATTACTACATGTTATCAGTCCTAGGAAAGTCTCAATACACAGTTTCACCAAAACAGAACAAGTCTTAACAGCACAAAAGAACCTCTCTAGATGGCGAATATAAAGAAAAGTATAACCATATCTCTATAGTGTCATTCCCAATTCCAGCATTAAATGTTATATCCAGAGAGGAGAGAATTAGGATCTCAAGAAAGTTGTATTGTTATTTGTGGGCTCTCAACACTAGGTTAAAACTCTTCAGTGCTCACTGTGGGCTCTTTGGTTTATGATCTCAGTAAGAAGATTCCATAAAAAGGCAAAAAAAATGTGTCATGGAAATGTTTACGGTTTATTCATGAAACCTGAAAACATAATATATGCCAAATTCTGCAAACAGAATAGAAATTGGGTAACTTTCTGGATATGTTTCTGTTGAACTACTAAATTTGTCTAGTAGCTCAAGAAATCAAAAAATTAGGGGCACCAGGATGAGTCAGAAGCTCTTGGTTTCAGCTCAGCTCATGATCTCAGGGTCTTGAGATCAAACCCCTCATCATGCTCCATGCTCAGCAGCAAGTTCACTTGAGATTCTCTCTGCCTCTGCCCCTCTCCCCTCCCCACTCTCTCTCGCTCGCTCGCTCTCTAAAATAAATAAATCTTTAAAAAAAAGAAATCCGAATAGTAAATATACCAATATAGCTTTTACCATGAATTTAAGTCGTTCAAATCCATGTTTCTAGATAAATATGGTAGGAAGAATTACTAATAATCATAGCTAAGATTTTTCAAGTGTTCATCTTGCTCCAGGTACTTGTCTAAGCACTTTATGTTATCTTATTTAATCATGAAAATAAATCCATAGGTCAGTGCTGTTACTTCCCCCATTTGACAGATGAAGAAATTGAGGCTTAGCGAGATGAAATACCTTGCCCAAAGGCATTTAATTGGTAGGTGGCAAAGCTGGAATTCCAAATTAGACAAGGTTGCTTCATCACCTCTACCCTTAACCAGTATGTCATACTA